GATTTGCATTAGCCCTCAATCAGTACCTTTTAAAGAGATGGTCTTATTCGGAAGTTTAACCATTGTTCCTTATCTGTTTCTACTGGATATCTTTCCTTGTGCCAATGCTTTTGAGTTACTTCGTCTCATGCAAGTTGTAGAAAGTAGCGTTGTGGAAGTAAAAGCAGGCTCCACATAAATCTGTGATGTCTCTACTTTCTGGAAGTTCAGCACCAATGCTAGCTACTTGCAAAGCCTTTCCTGATCTGCCCACAAATGCTTCCACACTCCCTTGAGATACTTCACAGCATCATGGACACCTGCCACCCACAACACTTCACACTGGATTTTAACTTCTACTTTTCTGATGTTTCCAGAATGACTGCCTCTTGAATTCTTTGATTACAGTAAATAGCTCATTGAGAGCAATACTGCCAACAACCATACAAGGGTTAAAATCACTTACAACTCAAGTTTCAAGTCATACCTTGAGAAAAATCAGAAGAGATGAATTTGGGCTATTCCCTCTCAAAGAGACTGTGGGAAACATTAGCTAATGGGACACGAGACTGCCTGCTTTCATTTAGCTTTGTTCATGATTCTGATTCTTCCTGCTTTGAAGTATCTGGCAATGTATGAGTCTAAACCCTTATTTGGAGTTTAAAAAAATAAAACTTTTCTTTGAAGACCTCCCCACCCATGTGTAGGTGCTCTGGAATGCACAGATGTGGCAATCTGTACATGTCTTACACAATTTTGGAGAAGCAATTTCTTCTTTCTCTTTCTTAGCTCATATGTTTCCCACTCTTTCTTCTTCTCCTTATAAAAAATGGACATTGTCATATAAATCTATTTGGAAAGAACTAACAAAGTGAAAATGACCTGGATATAGAAACTCGGATTATCTATATAGGCATTGTATGATCACTAAAATATGTATTTGGACCTGTCAATCTTTTATTTATTGTTGATTTTTTATTTTGCAATGTCTTAGATGATCAAGGTGTTTATGTTTACTTGAAGTCATTTACACTTGCTGATTATTTACCTAAAACATCAATCTGGTAAAGCTACAATAGTTTTTCTTATTGATTTAAAAAGGATGACTTGGTAAGAAGTAATGACTCCAAGACTTCATTATGCAGTCTTTTAAACCTAATTGAGGGCCAGGGGTTTAGCTTAGCTTAGCGGCAAGCGTAAGTTGTGAGTTTGACCCTGGGGGGGGGGGCGCTCCTAGAACATCCTCCTGCTGTGAGTGCTTTGGTAAAGGGTTCCAATGGAATCTCTTTTGCTGCCCTAAATTCTACTATCTTTGAATAACAAAGCTATTATTAATCTTCCTTTCTACAATTTCTTCTTGATAAATAATATTCACCTGGCTCAGAGACCAACACTTCCAGAACATAAGCCCCAACCGACCTCTCCTAGCTTTGAAATAATTTCAGAAATATATAAACACAAGTGGAAGTAAGTATTTAAATGAAAGGAATAGAGTGTTATAAATGTATGTTACAAAGGCATGTAGCCTAGCATGTACCAGGAGGAGATGTACCAAGGAAGTCAGGCTGAGCCAAAATCTGGAGGGTGACTAATTGTTAACTGGTACAGTGTTTGTATGTGCGTGTGTGCATGTTTGAGTGTGTTTGACAGTGGCGGGGTGGGGTAGATATGAAGAGCTGAGAAGCAGTTGATGGCTGATAGAGTGGTCAGACTGCAGGAAGAAGAACTTCTAGGAAGACTGTCGTACACACAGTCTTTTTGGAGAAGAAAAAGGGCTAGTATCAATGAAACAGAGAGCTCATCAGTGATAAGACTGCAGATACTAAAGACCCATTGATATTCTGGTTTTATAAGGGCATTGGGAGGATCAGAAGTATGATCAAGTATGTGTGCTCTGAGTAGGTCTAAGGCAGGCATAATAATGATCACCTTTTACAACTGAGGAAGCAGAAGCTCAGGCTTAGATGGCTCGTGTAGGTTTTCCAGGATTCGTGCAAGTTGCATGACCAAGTGAATGGCTTGGCAAGGACTTAAATTCAGGTCCAGTGATACTCAACACTTTTATTCACTTAAATATTCAGTGAATTCATGCTGGTGTTTCTCTCTCTCTCTCTGTTTCTCTTTCTCTCGATTCTGAAAATAAAGCACTTACTTTGAGAATATTAAGTAGAGTTGGGTGAAACTAATGTTACTAAGTTCTTACAGTGTACCAGATGCTGTTATTGTATTTAGTTGCATCTCTCCTGTAAGGAAGGGCCTGATTTTCCTCATCTTCATTATGAGAAAACTGAGGATCAGAGAGTTAGGGGATGTGCTTTATTGTTAGAGACAGGAAGAGAAGGGATATGAATATAGTCTGTCTGACTCTAAATTTTAGGTGCAGTCCTGAACAAGGTATCATCACCTTAGGGAGACCTATAATGGAAGAGAGGGCAAAGCAAGATGAGAAACACAGAGACCAGATAAGATCTAATCTATAATCATCCAGATGAGAGATGAAGATAAAGGGTGGATACAATAGATTTTAGGTGAAGCGAACAAGCAGGAAATGAGCCTCTAAGGTGTTTGGGACGTGAAGAACTGGGGAACCTCCTTGGTTGGTTTGAGGCTGAGCAGATGATGATGTCATTTATCCTGAGGGGAGAGGCTGGAGATTCTCTGCTCCATTGATGGTTGGGATGGGCAGTCAGGTAAGCAAAACCAGAGGTCTCTGGAGAGATCTAGACCACTGGCCTTTGGCAGAAAGATGTTTCTTTATTATTAGGCAAATTTCAAACAAATGTTTGCTGCAGCCATGATCCATCTGCTCTGTTAAGATAATCAGCTTTGCCAGGCACATTCTTCTCCTCACAGTTTCACACTCCTATTGTTTCCTGTATTCTCAGGAAACAATTCTTTGTTCTCTTTTTGAAGATGATACTTGGTATGTCCCCCTGAGTCAGAATCCAGGTAAATAAGAATGGTATTTTAATAACTGGATTTTCCCTGATGGTTTGAGGAGAACCAGTTCATTCAAAGAATTATACTAAATCACAAAAACATGGCTTCAGTATAATAGTCTACTACAAAATGGTAGGAATTATACAATATGAAGCTGCTAAATCTTAAATTTTAGACACTGAGGTCACAGTCTCAATGAGGACTCAAAATATTGCACTTATTGCAGACTAAATACATGTCACCCTTGTCTTATCAGCTAAGAGTTAACTGTGGACATCAGTTGAAGGTAAGCATTATTCCAGCAATGAAACATCCTTGGCAGGCTCCTCTCTGACTCACAGGGCTTGCCAGATCTCTGATGGAATAGGGTACCCTTGATAAATGCCATCTACTTCTCTTGCATGGATGATGCCACACTGTTCAGGTAACATTTTCAACTCCAGTCAGTGAATTCACCATAGCTGTTTTCCTCAACCATGGGGAAAATTCAGATGTATAAGAGCTAAATTGTCTGAATAAAACTAAGTAGCCAGGATTTTCAGCCTATGAATTCTGCTTTGGAAATGTCCAAGAATCACTTGGAAACTGACCTCAAACTAGTACTGACACTAGGCCAACTTTAGGGTGTAAGCCAGGGCGAATGTCAGAATGCCAGGCAGGAATAAATCTGCTGTTATGTCTTTCTGCTAGTGGTACCCACCAGCAGGGGGCCTGAACGGCAGGGGTCCCTAATGGCAGAAGGGATGCGAACCCAAGGTAACTAGAGCCCTTCAGTGCCTGCTTTTCTGTCTGCCCCTTCCTTCCCCCTTCCTTCCTTCCTTCCTTCCTTCCTTCCTTCCTTCCTTCCTTCCTTCCTTCCATCCTTCCCTCCTTCCTTCCTTCCTTCCTCTTCCCCCTCTTTCTCTCTCCCTCTCTCCCTTTTTCCCCCTCCCTCTTCTAGCACTGGGGAAAGTGGGAGAGGAGAAGTTGCATTCCTTGAGGCATGGACCCATCACAGAAAATGTATCGATATAAGCTTGGAAAAGTGGAAAAACAGTTAATTGGGGTTGGATTTGGAAGGGAATAGCTGTGAGTCTGGTAATTGATATCTTGGTTGCATGGCACCCAGACAAGCCAGTGTACCCAATGGAGGCTATTTCTCCAGTGTTCTGGCAATTAAGTAGTTTTCAGCGCTAGTTTAACTCTCCATTCTTTTTTAGAAGAAGGGAGAATGCATTTCTAAAGGCTCATTTGTCTGAAAAAGCAACCTGGTCTTTCATGCTCTAGGATGGGAAACACAACCATCTTCTGAAGTGACACATGATTTGGGCTTGTGAATAGAAGAAAAGAATAAGGCATTTCCTTTAAGGTAGACAGCGAGCGCCACACTATAAAAATTGTAATTACTACTGGTTACTGAGTGTTTGTGATGGCTACGCACTGTGTTGTGCACTTTTTTCATTTGGGTCTGACAAATTCCTTAAAGGGAGGAGATTGTTGTTAATCTTTCCCATATAAAGATATCAGAGTAATGAGATGTTTACACATTGCTTAAGGTCACAAGTTGGTTGTAAACCCTGGGCTGACTCCAGTTTATCTTTCCTGAAACACTAGTAACCTCAAACTCTGAACAAGAGAAAGGTTCAGATTTAGTAAGCTTGAAAAACTCATCCTCCCAAGGGCTTCAGTCAGCATAGTTCTTAGTTGATTATGATAGTGAACGTTAATTTGGTGATTAAGTATATATTTTTAAATTATTTGTTGTACTCCATTGGATGCCAGGTGCATTTAATGTTTAACCTTCATGAAAACTCCCATGAGCACTTTTAACTATGTACAGTGCTTCCAAAATATGGTCTCTGGACAAGTAGCATCAGCACTGTCTGCACACAGGTTACAAATGTGATTTCTTGATCTCCACAGTGAGCTCCCTGAATAAGAAAACCAGGAGGCTGGTCAGCAGTCTGTGTGTTAACAATTCTGCAAATCATGAGGTGCATGCTAATATTTAAGAGTCACTTCTTAAATAGATGTTTTTTCAACATGGAAAATGTTGACTCTAAGATTTTCTTTTTTTTTCTTTTCTTTAAAAAAATCTTTACCTCATTTCCAAGTCTTCATTCTCCTGTGGCACAAATTTGTACAAGGCAACATAGGTGTTTATCTGTAATGGGTCTTTGGAAGGAGGTCCCTGAAAAAGAAAATAAAAGAAAAATGAGAAAGAGAAGAAGAAATTACAAGAGAAAATAAAACAGGAAGCAGAAAAGTTACTGCAATGTAATTTCAGGGCATACATCTTACATGTTAAAAAACCATTATTAATGATTTCCTGTCAACTTTATTTTTAATTCAACTGAGTTAGGTATCATTGCAAAACATTTGAAGACAATTATTTGGAATTCATTGTCAGAAATACTGAAACCTTTTTCAAATAATTTTTTTCCTCCTTTATTGTTCACAAAAAATGTCCTAGGTTTGGGTCCAGGAATGAGAATTTTTTTTTTTTTTTTGTAAAGGAAGAAGGATAGGTAAATATTAATAAATAGCTCTTCTCTAAACTGATGTTTTATCAGCTGAAAGTTGGGATCTAGCATATCAAAGGGTACCTTGTTTATTCATCTGGTAGATAAATCATTCATGTTAGAGAAAAAGCACAGCTTTTAGCATCAGACTGATACAGTTTATAACATGGTACCACAATGACAATAAAAGCTACCAATTTTGATAATTACTATGTGTCAGGCATTATGTTACATGCATCAACATAATTTAACTGCATAACAGTGCCGTAGGGTAATTTTATCATGGTCTCCAATTTATAGGTAGTCATGCAAGTATAATAAAAATTATTAATTATTATTATTAACCAAATATATTTTAAATGTTACATATTTTACAATATAAAATTTAAATTATGCAATATATTGTGAAATATATAATTGAATAATATATTTGAATATGTTATATCAAATATATAAGTATATGATATGATGTATATAAAACATAAAAGTTGCATACAACTGCATGTAAACTTTTCATCTACAATTTACTCTGCTCTTTGAAATGGTATCATACACTCTATTATCCTGTTCCACTAAGTGCATAACTGTATATATGAACATATATAATATAGCAAATATATATTTATATTGTACATAGTTATACTAAAATTCTATAATGTTCATTATATAGTACATATCAATTTTTATGAAACTTAGGTGAGAGAAACAAAAAGTGCACAATGCAAAAGTTATCATTTTTATATTTATACACCATGACACTATCTTAACATGACACTATCTTAACATGACACTATCTTAACTTATTATTATGCTATGGCACATCATACTACATCATTCTATTTTATTCTCTAAAAATACTGGCCTGCGACCCACTGAGTGGGTCTCATGACCTCCTTGAGTGGTGAGCTGCAGTTGATCTAAGGATTCATTCCTATTTGATCTGTCTTCTGTGACTTCCATAAATACCTGGTGGTTTATGTTCTTTGATTGGTCGCTGAAATCGTGGGTGCCATTTTCGGGATATGTAAACACTGAGGGAGACAAAACAAATCAGGTGCTTTACGAATCCAATCACTGTAACTTGCAAAGCACGATCGGAGGTTGTCACTTTACTCGTCTACCTTACTGCTTGCTGCCTTTTCCTCAATTTCCCCTTCCCCGCTTTCGCGTCCTCTCCCGTGAGATGCTGTGTTCTCCGAGCTCTCTCAACCTCCGCGCTTGCCGTGCTGGCCCTTGTTGCTTGCCCTGGTTGGGAATTGTGTGTGTAAAACTTGGACTCATTTGGCAGTGTTCTCCTTTGGAGCAGAAGCTCTGCCATCCATCTTTATTGAATGTGTCAAATCACTTTTACATGGGACGATGGGTCAGGTATAGTTCACTTTAGTGCATTTAATTACCTTCTCTAAATATCAGATAATTTAGTCTATACTCAGTATCTTAATTCTATTTTTAAATGATGTCTGTATTGTATTTTGAAGATTAAAGGTTTATTTTTAAATTTCAAAATATATTCCTGGTCCCTTACTTTCAATGCATTATAGTCATTTTATGGTTTTCCTTTTGGCTCATTATTAGGCTAATAAATTAGTAATAAATTCTCGCCCTTTTGCACTTAATCAGCCTTCATAGGGAGCAAAACATCTGCAAATGGACAGGAGTTTTTAGTGTCTACATACATAGCTGTGAGAAGTCCCTGAATGAGACAGCGTCACTGCCTCAGCTAAGTTGATCAGCCAAGTTGACCCCAGTGACAACATTAGAAATTTACCCTTCTTGCCAGATGTACCTTCTTTCAACAGAACATGGAAAATGTTTCCAAATTTACATGATAGAGTTGTGGTGTCAATTAATCCACCAATTGAAGACTTGACATTTTAAAATAACACATTGCTGCTTTATTTTTTTCTTTTATTTCCCATCAGATTATGAAGAAAATATCAGTAGAGGGAGACAAATGCATCAGGGGATGCTCTATCACCTACTTCATTAGTATGTTGACACTCTCTACTGTTCAGAAAATAGACTCAATAACTGAAGTGTAAAACACATTTCAGAACACAGGCCACTGGAAAAGTAGAGAAGATTTTAAAATCTCTGTTTTACTCAGTTTATTGTCCCAGAGTTTATGGATACAGTTCCATTATTCCTAAGAAACCCTTGCCAAAATCATTGGCAGGGCTCTGGTTTGTGGGTAACTAGAAGACAAGGCCTAATTCCATGAACTTTGTCTGCCGTATTATTTGGCTTCTGAACATGGTGTTTAGCAGTTTAAATCGGGCCCAGTAACATCTTAATCTGGTATGGCGTGACTATTTGAAATTTTGGTGTAACACTTGATTCTACAAAACTGGATTCTTCTAAAAGAATATTAAATATTTGAATGGGGACATGTGAAAAGAATCTAGGAAATTTTCAGTTGGAACGAAAAAAGAGAACTACATAAATTGTGTATGTAGTAATCAGTTTGCACTAATTTTATAATTCTGCAATTTCACATTATTTTAGTTTTCTTTATGAATATTAATTGGGCCATCAAATTCAAAATGTGTACCATTTTTATGAAGTATGTTGAAAATTATTTGAAGTGACCTTCAGTGTGCCTGCAGATATATAGTTACAAACAGGTCTGGAAGGCCTCAAAATGATTTTTAAAATCTATTTCTGCAGGCTATTTCTAGGACTTTGAAGAAATAGAACAAAAGCAAGGTAACTATTTTATCAAGGCATTTACACATATCCTTTATTTTTAGTATTTTAAATTATTTTATGAAAATATTTGTTTCTTTGTTTTAATACTCACTATAAGTGCTTAGAGCTCAAAGAATATGTCCATTAATATTTTCCAATATTATAGAAACAAAATAAATCTTAACTTTTTGCCATATCCTCAGAGGACCACCTTCTTTTCCACTATGTCTTTCTCTTTTACTCTGTAGCTCTGTGAAGCCATGTCAGCTGTGTTTTCTGAAATGATTATTTGGGGTTTTATTCTTTAACCTGCAAATGCAGCAAGTTATATAACTTATCTGACATAGACCAAAGTCTGAATCCCTAGCTTAAGACTGACTTTGTTATTATGCAATATTTGAAAAAAATATATTATTGGATTCGGTTTACTAAGGTTTCATTTCAGATTCTGCATCTGTATTTAAGAGGGAGACCGGCCAGCGATCCCTTCTTCATCCTTGTTTGGTTTTGAAGTCCGTACTGTAATAGCCTCGTAAACCAAGTCAGAGGACACCGCTGCCCTTCCTCACTGAGGTATCCTGCCTCTCTGAAAGAGCTTATGTAATCTGGAAATTTTCTACCTCTCAAATAGTTGGTAGAGTTGATTTATAAGGATGTATGAGCCAGATGTTTTTATTATGTAAAATTTTAAATATTGATTTGGTTTTTATAAGGTTAAAAACAAATCAAGCTTTCTATTTCTATTTCTTTTGCAATCAGGCTTTAGTCACGTTCTTGGAATCAGCCCTTTTAAAACAGTTTTAAAGTTTATTGGCATGAATTTGGTTATGGTATGCTTTTGTCCTCTTTTAATTGCTGCTGCTCTTCCTTTTTATCATTACCTTTTGCTTTGTTCATATTTTAAAAATCATTAGAGACAAATGTTATTTAACAAATGTATTCAGGATTCATCAGTCTTTGCTAGAAATGAATACTTTTTGCTCTTACCTTTATTACTGTTTTTTGGGTTTATTCAATGTCATTTTGAGACTGCTTAAGAATGGTGTTTAGTTTCTTCTCAGATTTTTTTTATAAAATCATTTTAAAGCTCCAATTCCTTAATCACAATCATGCTATCCCACAAGCTATGATATGTAGTGTTTTGATGTTACTTAGTTTTAAATATGTTCTAATTTTTGTTATGAATTCCTCTTGACACATGAACTTTTAAAAATTGTGTTAAGATTGACCAAATCGGTGATTTTTCTAGATATCATCTGAGTATTATTTCTATCTTATTTATACTGTGGATAGGAAGATGAATGTTAATTATTTGAAATTTATGAAGTTTATTTAATGGTCTATAGATTGATAATTTTTATAGTCATTCCATGTGTTATGAAATAGGTGAAGCCTACAATTCTCAAATGGAGGGTCCTTTTTAAGTCGGTTAGATAAAGATAGTCAAATATGTCACCAAATCCTCTGTATCGATACTGAATCTTTCTGTCTGACTTGCCAATGTGGGAGAGGCATGTTAAAATTTCTTACTATGCAGGAGAATATCAGTTTTTCTAAAAATGTGCTCAACTTCTCGCATTTTTGTCATTTTGAAGGTATGCATCAGACATATGCAAGTTTAGAATCTATAATTTTGGGTGAAATGAACATGATCATGTAATGATGCTTTTTATTTCTAGCAATGCATTATTGTCTTAAAATCCATTTTTCACAATTTAACATAGCTATATAATTTTCCTTTGCTTAATATTTGTCTGGAGTTATTATTTTATTCCTTTTATCTACATGTAAAATGTTTTCTTTTTTTCCTGTATTTTCATTTTTTATTTCTGTGATAATTTTAGAAAGTTCTTTTATTTTCAACTTTTTATATCCTTATATTTTAGATATTTGTTAATTGTATATAGATCACTCAAGAAAATCTAGTCTTAAAACCTTTTTCTTTTATCTAGAGTACTTGGTTGGCTTGCAGTGATTTTGATGACTAATAAATTTGAATTCTTTCTTAAACATTTTATTTTATATTTCCTATTTGTCCTAAATTTTCTATGTTTTTGCTTCTATATTCTTCCTTCTCCCACTCTTTTTTTCCTTATTTCTTTTGAAATGCTTGGCCAATTTTTCCTTCTCATCATTTAATTTTGTTTTCTTTATAGTTTGTAACATTTCCTGTATTTTTTATTCTTGGAGCTTTTATGAAGCATGTGTTAATAAACCTAAGCTGAAATCACACTTTTAAATTCATCCCACATGAGAATCTTTGAACACCCATTTCCTACTTAATATCAGTGTTTTAGATAATGTTTTAGTAATTACTTAATTTTTATGAAGTTAATGTTTGCCTAGATTAACTCTGTGTTTGCCACTTTCTTGTTCATGATTTGCTTCTCAGCAGTTTTGTTGGAGTGCTTTATTTATGAGTTCTCTCAGTCTATTAAAGATAATATGATAGTTTTAGTTTCTACTGTATTTCATAAGAAGTGGTCTGTAATAGCTTTCATTCCTTGTATATAATCTGTCTTTGAATCTGCATTTGATGTTTTCTCTTGTCTTTGAAACTCTGAAGTTTCACCTAAATGCCTCTGTAATCAATTCTGGAAAATTCTTGATCAGTATTCTCACTATCATTCTTTATGTACTTTTTTCTAAGATGCCAATTAGAAACATGTTGGATTTCTTTATTCATCCTCCCTGTCACAAATTCCACTGCTTTTTTTTTTTTTACTAGATATACTCTAATTTCTTTGGTTTTATATTTTAGGATGCTAATTCTCTCTTTAGCTGTGCTATTAAATTCATCGGTTACATTTCTACTTTAAAAAATGTGAGATGTTCTATTTGATTTTTATTCAAATTTTCCCATTTCATTTTGATAGTTTCTTGTTCTTTTGATACATTCAAAGGCTACTCTAATTTTTTGAACATATATGACTATGCAGCGATGTTTATTTGATAAATTTCAACAAATACATTCTCAGAGTTTGATCATAGTATTGTGTGTTCCTGTTCACTGTCACTTATATTTGGTGAACTTCATTGTTATCTTGTAGTTTTTGAAAGTTAATTGTTGGAAGTTTTTGATGCCTGAGTTTAATTCTCTTCTTCTTAGAAGGTTTGCATTTCCTTCTGCTAAAAGCATGATGATCTTATCATTGTTGACACTTTAAATTAAACAGAATTTCATGTTATTGCACTTTGCCTGTACAGGTAGTCTAAGTTAGAACCTAAACAAGCAGACTGTTTTCTTTTTCCTTTCTTTCTCCTTTCCTCCCTCCCTCCCTCCCTCCCTTCATCCCTCTCTCCCTCCTTCTTTTCCACTCCCTCTCTTTGCCCGCCCTTCACTTCCTCCCTCCTGTCTTTCTATCTTACTTGGCTTTTTTTTTCTCTTCTGTTTCTTTGTGAAGTTGAGTTAAAGCTGGCAAAACATACTCTTCTGAAAGTCACTGAATTCTACTAGTGATAGGAAGGGTGACTTTGGAGGCAGCAACATTTTCCCAAAGGCCCCCTTGTCTAACTTACTCTACTGCACAAACCCCAGGTTTTGTCCTCATCGTCCACAATGCTTCAGAGCTGTGCAGAGATAACACTGGCCTTCTCCTGCTTATGTCTCTGGACACTTACTCTATTGTTACTTTTAAATTCTAATGAATTGTCTTATTTTGTTGCCATGCATTCATTATAAATTTCTTTTACATTCTCTTTTCTAAAAGTTCTACGAGTGTTAAAATGGGGGAAAAATTCTCTGAGAATCCAGTCCCCCATACAGCTGGAAAGAGACTCTTCCATGTTTTCAAAGAGGTCTTTACCTGGTATAGAGAATGTGTGTAGTGCACTAACACATCTGTAAGTATTTACATCCACAAGTTAAAAATTGGGAGTGGGGCAAGACCAGGGCACTGGCCTATGGAACCATCAAGATAGCTCCTTGCTTGTTTCCTTCTTTGTTGTTGTTGTTGCTGTTGTTGTATGACGAGATCTTAAGATTTGAGATATAGAAGAAGTGCGTGTTAAAAGCAGAAATAATTTTTCTCAATCTGAGCTTGTTTTTCTTCTTTCTGGGTAAAACTTTCTTGGTTAAATACAAAGTGACTTAATATTAAATTCCATAATATCCTCAAGTAGATGTGATTAACTCAATAATTTTTGAAGAAAATTTCTAAGAATTTATATAACATGTCTTGTTCGCTCTATTTCTCTTCTAGGAAAACTGTGATCACATATAGTCATGCATTTATTGAAGGTAGTCACTATTTGGCATTTTGAAATGAAATGGGAACCCTGGACATTATTTTTCCTTTTGGTTACTACTTTGTTATAAATGAAGCTTCTAGAAGTTAAGCCAAAGGTAAATATCAATAAATATTCCAACTCTGTCTATGACCTATCTATGAATAGTGTTGAAAACAAGTAGAAACACTCTGGCTCAAAATAATTGATAAGTCAGAAAATAGACATTACTTTCTTAACAGTGATGAAACTGGTAGGGATTATATCCTCTTTTAAGGTGGCGTTAGGGACATTCCTCAGTAAATCTGACATAATACTTAACTCAAAGAAATAAAACTTGTATACACTCATCTGTTTGTGAAGGACATAAATGAAACATGTAATGCAGAACTGATTGTAACCAGGATCCGAGCCACTGTTTCTGAAAAACCAAACTCTTGTCATGACCAAGAAGACCCTCAGGAAATTGAATTCCAAGAGCAGAGTGTTTCTTCCATGTTGTTTCTCAAATTGCATGGATAGGGGATTAAAATCAATCAAAGAAAAATATTTTTAAACCAACTGCTGAATAATTAATTTCCTTTGCTTCTAAGGGTATATTGTAAAGAAAACTATTTCTGATCAAAGGAATTGTTCATAAATATATAAAATTTTTAAAACTTTATAGCAAGCTAAATACTTACAACCGAACTCTTTGAATAAAGCAGTGAAATTGCCTCTTACTATACAAGTAATAATCAGAAAATAATCAGCTTTGTGTCTTTGAGTGTATCACTGCACAGCTTACTTTCCTTATCTACATGGCGTGTGCTCTCAGTGTCTGGTGTACTGGAGGGCAGAGAGCTAGAGTAAATGACTTCTGATCCTACTTCTCCAACATTAATGACCATATAAACCATAGACACCTTGCAAGGCCAGGTTCAATAAGTCTGGGTGACCTGAAATTCTGCATTTGTAACAGACTCCACTGGCCACAATTGGTAAGTCTTTAGTCTGCATTTCTGACCATTGATGACACTGTGATAGGTTTGTTAAAAGCAAATATGGTTCATATTGATGATTTCTATGTATAACGCTTTACAATATAAAATCCTTGTAAGGCCAGCTTTAATGATATGAAATTCTCAGAATAAATAGAGCTTAGTTGCTAACTGGATAACAATGGCACTGATAGAGTGACCCAGGATGGCTGAGACAGAGAGTGAATGGTGGGTGTTCGCTGAACATAATTCTAAGAGGCTGCAGTTAGGATTTTCCACAGAATGGATAATGAGACATGAGAAGAAAGCGGAATCAGGTTTGACACAAGACTTTGGCCTAACACATTTGTCAGAGGAAGTTCCCCTTTATTGAGCAGTGAAAACTGTGGGAAGGGCTAGTTTGGGAGGGTGGGTGAGAGAATCACCCTGTGTGTTAGCTTTGTGTTGTCTGTTGTGTATTTAGAATGTGATTGTTCACAGGCTACAGATATCTGAGGTAGCAGACAAACCTAATGCTGGAGATGAAGTTTGAGGGTTATCAAGGTGTGGACAGTAATTATGCTTGTTATCCCATTCAAAAATCACAGCAACCCTATCAACTGGAAAATCTACGTAACATCTCTATAGTTGGCCTGCTGTGGTTGGAGCGTGGATGCACCAAGTCTGCCCCCAAAATACATTTAGCTGAGCAAAATTCAGGCCCTGAATCCTTGCTAGCCTGGGAGCAGCATGAGCACAGGGTTTGTGACTTGTTATTTTGTTGGTGATACTAAATGCTTCCTAATTTTTTGTTGATAAATGAGTAATCGTGAGTGGCTGTTAATGACAAGCAGGATTAGCCAGCCGTAAGGCATCCATAAAGGCCTTGCTGTGTTTTTAACTTGGTCAAAAAAGTGGTTCTTTCTTACCATTAGCATGCAATATTATATATTATAGTTTGCAATTAATAAACATTTCAGAAATTATTTTAACAGGGGCTCTAGTTATTAGAAGATTAAAACACATTGATAACAAATGTTTGGCTGGAATATGTGAATCAGTTTTTGAGAGTCTTATTTGATTTTGTCAGCGAAGGAGCCAAGTGTAAAGATTGTGTTCCCCTCACTGTTAGCACCACGGCAGCCCTTTAACAAACCTGGTTTCAGATACCTCAGTGCACAAAGTAGCTTCTCTGTGGTACGGTTTTCAAATCTAACTTAGGTCAGTGGAGACATAACACACTCACCAAAAGGGCTGAGTGTGATCCCAAAGTTCAGTATGGCTAAGTCCATGCAGTTTGAGAATGCAAAGAACAGATTCAGGGCATTGTCTGAGTAAATCAGTGACACTAATCAGAAGATTGCTCAGTTTCCCTCCAGAATACAAAACACTTGCTCGGGTTGGATGTCAGAGCCAGCGGAGAAGGACAGGGCACTGGACATTGACTTCACCTGCCCACTGACCCCCTGACTAAAATGTTCACATGTGTACCAGGTTGTTCCCTCACTCACCACTGTTGCTGCGTTTCCTTAGGTCATACCCTTCTCCTAGCCCATCGACTTCTTCGGGAACTTCCACGAGATCTGAAGTCTTGGAGGAAAGAAGAAACAGCATGGAATAAGCAGTGTTTTATTACTGAGCCAACTGAGCAGCGATTTTGGTGTTGGAAAAAAAAGGTGAACTTTGCATAACACTTGGGGATCTATGACAGCCTTTTTGTCTGAGGCTAACTGCACATAGGATGTGTGATCCTCTTGGGCATTATTCTTCCTTTCAGGGGTCAGTGGCGGGATCAGGCTCGACCAGGACAGGTGCTCAGTGAGTGCTGAGTGAGAGCCTAACTGCACAGCTGACAGGTAGTGTTCTTCCTGGAGCAGACCGCAAGGGAAAATCAAAACTCCTGCCCATATTTTATCATTTTGAATTTTCAATAACACATTTTTAAACAGGTGAATTTTAAGTATTAATTATAGAGAATAAGGTACACTGTATGAGTTAAATGCAAAATCAATTGTTTTTTATAATTACTCTACTGATTGAAAAATAAGTCATAATCACTCTTCTATTTAGACTACAGAAATACAGTGAATAACAGTAAAACAGTAACAGCACTTAAAATAGCTAATAACTCTTGATTGTTTATTATGAGCTATTTTCAAATACTTATATTACCTCATTTACTCTTTACAATAGTCCTGTGTTAGACTCAGTTTTTTCACAAAGAAATCTGAAACCTAGAATCATAACCACTTGAGGTCCCTCAGCTGATGGGGAACAGAGGTGCAATAGCAAGCCTCAGGCCTTGCTCCAGAGCTTAGGCCCTTAAGCACAGTTTTGTCCAGGGGTGACCTGGCTTCACAGCTCCAGGAGCCTCTAGAGTCTCTACACTGGTCGCATGGAATTGATCACATTAGGGATATTTACACCACGGAATTGGTGAAAGCTACCTTGTCCATCTTGGCAGTTATACATTTACCAGCACAGCACTGATTGCTCCTGTCAAAGGGCAGATTAGATACCTTGGGTCTAACTGGCTTCATGTTCTTCAGAGAGGAATTTAGGAAACTTTGGAGAAAAATGAGGTCTGAAAAAAAAACTCCAGGTATTTATATGTTATGAGGAGGAATGGAACACGTTTGCTGTCCTAGTCAGCTCTAGAGCACATCAGCACCAATCTCCAAGACTGATTTTTGTTAAAGATTAGGTTTAAGATTTTTTTTTTCATTCAGTTTTTCTTTCATGGCACATCAAAAAGAAAAAAAAATAGCACAAACAGCACAGGGTCTCTAACTCACTCATACCATACTCCCTTTAAAGTTCATAATTTTTGCACGAAATTACTCTGCAATTTCATTTATTTAATTTAGTCTTATGAAACTGACGATTATTCATAAGCAAGTAAAGAAGCTCCCAGAATGACTTTTTTAAACATTTGTTTTCTGCTGACCTCTTCAAAACCAGCATGTCTTTTAGATTCTAAGAACATCTGAAAACATATTAAAGAAAACATAACGATTTGGAAACAGTAAAGCAGTGACTTCCAGACCATGTAAAACAAATGTCCATATAGTCCTGAAAGAAAATAACCCTGTGGAATAATGCTTTGCTATGTGGCAATATGCTTGCTTTAGACACCAAATTGCTAAAGAATGACAAGAGGCCTAAGTTCATCATCATTTGACGCTGCAAAATCATTTTAAAGCAAAATCATTTTAAAGTACCCATCAATTGCTTTTTTTTTTTCTTCCTCTGAGGCAAGTTGGATTTTAGGGAGAGTGAAGTGACAGATGTTTAAATACAATTTGATTCGTCTTGTCTTTTTGAAGCTTTCAGAACAATGGCTTCATTAAGAAAACCTCCAATATTCACTGATAGAACAGTGCCCGTGCAACTGGGCAGTGACAAATGACAACTTTGTTGACATTCAGAAAACCATGAGTTTTTTTTGTCTGTCTGTCTTTTTCGCCCTTCAAATTAGTCCACAAGGCCTATGTTGCTAGAAACAAAGCTACATTAGAGAGGAAAGCAGCTGAGCATCCTTCAGTTGTCTTGCTGATCAACTTGATGTGTCTTAGTAGCATGAACCGCAAATGTAGCAGCTGAAATGCCCATTGCTTACTATGGAATATGTCTGAAAATGTCTCCTTGTTGCCAGTTCAGCAAGAACCAGAGGAGCAGACACTTGTTCTTACATGGACAGTTCAGATAATAACCGGGAAGCCTCCATTCTGCTGTTACCTCTGTATTCTGAATTTTCATTTCCCCTTCTGCCAAGGTTGACCACAAAAGCACCTTCTGCAGGAGGAGAAACTCAATGTAAAGATTACATGTAAGACAACTCAGAATGCAGTTAAAGTAGACAAAGATTTCTCTTGCTCTGGCCCATTTTATTTGTGTTTTTTATTGAATTTCTGGGTGATAGCTACAAAAGTCCTGATTTGTAAGGGTACCTGCTCTGAGCTGCAAGATAGCTATATGCAGCTTGTGGAGGAAGCAGCTCATTGGCAGCAAGTACCCTTTTGACTCTCTGAGAAGATGTAATGTGGTTTGTGGGGTTAGGGAGATGGTCAGAATTTTTCAACATCTGTTTCAAGTATCAGATCTAGCCTGCTGATCATTGTAAATACGTGATTCTAAAATATTCCATACCAAGGACCAATGAAAATTATGAACAAGGAAAGAAGAATGTGAGAATAAAAGAGGAGAAAGCTGACTGGAGATGAGTGTCTTGGAAGCAAATATAAGTCCTTAATTTAATTCAGTACTTCTCAAACTTTTATGTATATTAGAATCATTCGGAGGGTTTCACACGAGATTATTGTATTGTCAAAATCAGCTATTATCTATGCTTAAGTGGGAAACCCATATCTGTACTTTTAACATGTTCCCCATTGATATTGTTGTGCTAATCAGTTGATCATACATTGAGAACCACTGATTCGATTTTGTATCAGCTTTAGGTCCTGCTTAGAAATTTAGTGGATCTGATGATTGTGTTCATTTGTTCATTCATTCATTAAACTTTAGTCAGAATATACAAATGGCCAATGCTGTATAGACTAATGGTTCTCAAATTTTGGTAGGTATTGGTGGCACCTGAAGAGGTGATAAAACCCAGAGAAACCAGCCTCATTGAAGTAGGACAGGACCTAGGCCTCTATATTGTTATAAAGTTCTCCACTGAATTCTGGAACTCAGTGAAGTTTGAGAATCACCAGCAAAAGATAATGGAAATAAAATGCGAACAGAGTTCTTGCATTTAAGTAGCTTACTCTAGTCAAGGGGGAACCAGAAAAGAGAAAAATTAAACACAAAAGTGAAAAGTATTAAGCACTATATCGGTGATGGATTAATTAACTGGTTTCAGAGGAGACAGTGAAGAGAGCACCATTCAGAGCACAAAGTTCAGAGGAACAATGTATGGGCACCTGAACAGAGCAGGCTTTTCAGAAAACTAGGAACTGTTCCTGGAGCCCAGGGCATAAGGAATGAAGTGTTGTGTGGATCCCAGAGGACTCTGAGATCAGCCCCAAGAACTTCTCAAGAGCTCACTACATGTCAGGCACTTTGTTAGGCCATATATAAATAAGACAAGGAAGGAAGGAGACCCTGATGGACAGCCTAGTTCAGCAAGTAATCAGAATTCAGTCATGTATAGGCTAGATGAAGGGAATTCTGGAAGCCTTATAGAAAGTGAAACTTGCCTTGCGTGGAAGAGTCTAGGGATTCTTTATTATTTGTGTAAAAATCAAGTTAGCTCTTTTTAAAAAATTCAGTGCTGAAAATAGACTGAACCAAAGGCCTTTGCATGGAGACACATCTGTCTGCCCTTTTCATTTTGAGACAGTCTTGCTGATGTCCAGGATGGGGTCAGTATCTCCAGTTTAGCCTCCCAGAGCTCTGGGGTTATAAGGATGTGCCACCACAGTTGGATCAAGTTGTGTCTTAAAGAATTTCAACTGAATGATGCAACATGTTCAAAATTATGATATCTTTAAGGCTTGTTGAGTTCAGGGGAAAGTGGGCTTTTAGAGTAGCAACATATGAATGCTAAGGATTATGGATATTATCCTTTCAGCAAAGTGACTTTGTGAAATTTTTATTAGGAAAATTGAACAAAGTATTTAAAAGATGGTGCATCTTGAGATACTAAGAGTAAACTCACAAGGAAGAAGGCAGCACAGATGCTCCTTTATAATAATTTGAATGATAGATGATGAGGTTCAGCAGTGCTGATAGAGAGGAAAGATGCTTAGGACAATATTTCCAAGATCCACATCATAGGAGTCCGTCACCAAAGGTGCATTGTGTTCCTTTTAGTATCTTTAGGACTTGTCTGGTGGTTGTGAATAAGACAGGACTGGAAATATCTAAGGGAGTCATCAGTTTAGGGATTCTGAACAAGAGAAATATGAAGATCAACAGGAAGAGCATGCAGAACAAAAAGACCAAGCAAAAGTGGACCCTGGGTTCACCTGAACTGAAGAAGGACAGGTCAGAGGACGGAATAGGCTGAGCAGAATAGAGCAGAACCTTGAGTGGGAAGGAGTTTTCAATAAACCCCGAACATGGGCCTTGTTAAGGGGTGGCTCTGGGAAATGCTCTCCAATGATGTAGTTGCCTTGTTAGTGGATTACATCCTTGTTTAACTTCCTAACTCAGGTCAGGGTTAGGGTTAGGGTTAGGCCTAACCCTAACCCTAAGGAAAGCCCACTGAAACCTAATGAAATAAAACACCAGAAATTCCACTCACAAAGTTTAAATTATGCTAGACACTTTATGTAATTATTATACAATATACACTTTATGTAGGTATTATAGTTATGATACTATTTTATTAATAGTTCCTCACACATATAGCTGTAAAATATTTATATATGGTCATGGGCCATTTACCAGCAGGGGTATGTTCTGAAAAATGCACTGTTGGGTGACTTCATCACTGTGTACAAATCACAGAGTGTACTTACACAAACTCAGATGGCAAAGCCTACTACACACCCGGATTATATGGCATAGCACATTGCTCCTCGGCTATGAACCAGTGTAGAGCACTACTGCACTTTAGGGAATTGTAACACAATGATAAGTGTTCATGTAACTAAACAGAAAAGGTACGGTTAGTTGTGTTGTAATCTTAGGGAATCACCTTGATATATGTGGTTTGTCATTGACTGAAACATTGGTAGATGAAACATGACTTTAATATAAATCCTATCCATGACTTTGTAGATATTTTTATCACCATTTCTATGATTTTTTTCAGCAAAACATTATCATTTGCTTTCAAACTACCAAATGATAATAATGTATCTGGGAACATCACTAGGATTTAGGTATCTTAAAATGTCACAAGTATATCTTTACTGCTTAGAGGCAGAGTTTACTGAAACTATCTTACTATGAAATCCTTCAGAATTCATGCGAAAATTATTATGATATTTTTAACATAGGTGTTACGTTCTTTTAAAAACAAAATAGGATAACAAGTATAAGGAGTATATTTTTAAGAAGTGCTAAAATGCCACTATCATCATCTTTCTTCTTAATTTGTTTGGCCTTCAGAAATGTTTTGAAACCTAAGGGTATGAAGTGTCTTCATGTTTGCTGAATAGAAAAAGAAAATAATTGGCATTAATTTTATATTATAAACCAGTAATGAATAAAATTATTTGGCCTTTTCTTAGAAATCAGTGGAGTGTCTGAAGAACAGAGCTTTAAGTGAGTTTGAAGATGGCTTCTAAGATAACCCCTTGGCATGACTCAGGGACTTGTGAACCTACTTATTCACCTGTCTGACCTGTGCTCCCATTTAATACCTACAGTCTCATGCTGTTGTGTGAACTGATCAGCACCCAGTGAGGGAACTGCTTCAACTCAGCCTCTAAGGAGCCTTCTGGGTGTGGAGGGAGGATGCTCTACTGTTCTTCCCACAATCTCCCCTCTTCACTTGAGAGGAACCCAGCATGGCAGACCATGTGGAGGCTCATCCAGGTCTTGCCTGAAAGCTCATGGTATGCCAGGAGCTGCAGAGATGAAACTGGCAAGTAAATATCCCACCTGACAATGTAAGCTGGAATATCCTTGGCTCTTTGCAGTAGAGATGGTGGCCTACAGCAGGAATAGCAGAATTGTACTACATCCTGAGGTGTTATAGAAATTCTGAACAGGGTAACCACAGATAGGATTATAATAGGCCACAGAGGTGTTTGGGAGGGTGAGTATTCTTGACATCAGTGAAATGAAGTGGTGTGCCTCATCTTATACAGAAAGTTCTGAAAAGCGTGAGAATAACCAAAAGGAGGAGAAAGAGCCAGGACCTCTCTGGTTCTGTCTATCATTAGAGCAGCGTGTTTCCATGTGTCAATTGATGTGCTCTCTAATACTGAATGGAGAGCATGGGAAAAGTCGTGAGGGTGAGAGGAGGATCTCTGAGCAGGAAAGCAAACTGTTCTCTGGGTGCTAGCAACAGAGAGTTTAACTCTGTGGTGTAAAGCACTTTGGGTTTCCCTTTGGAGGCTGCCTGGCTCCCAAAGACCTGTGTGACGCATTTAGGTAGAGTCCTTCACACTGCAGGGCCAGAGGCTAGGACAGCCCAGTATGTAAACGGAAGGAGGAGGAGGACAATTACCGAGGTTCTGTGAGGCGATTCACAGCCACTGCCAGAGCTTCCCTTCTTTGTTCTCTGGGCCAGGGAGGTGCCGAAACGGAGGGCCTCATAGACGGGGTCCACTTTATTGCCACAGGCTGTAACAGAAGAGGAGACCATCTGAGAAAGCTCATGGGAGAGAACCCAGTCAATCACCTACCACCACTCCGGGCTCAACAGAACCTGAGATGGAGGTGCTGTGTTCTGATACTCCTAAGTTATCTGTTTGCCGAATTCCAATTTTATGATTATTCTCAAAGAGGAGTTTTATTTCCTCTGATGAGAAGCTCTGCTCAGCAAGATACAAAGTCTTGAGACATCAAGTTTGTAATAGAAGACAAGTATTTTCAAAAGAATTTGAAGTTATCAGGCCTCACGAATATCTAACTAAAAGTTTTCTAGTTTATGAATGGTTTGAATTCTGTCTCACTAAAAAGGCAAAAATAGGTGTAGTGATCTGCAGAGAAAGATAAAAGGTCGAAGCAAATTGAAAAGATATTGTAATGAAGAAATTAAGTCAGATGCATCTATAAATAGAGGATATTTTTAGGTCCTCATTAAAGAATAATCAATATGCCCTGAGTTCCTACTCAGCATTGGTTTATAACAAATATTTATTTTTACAACAAGTATGAAAAGCATTTGCTGGGTTTCATTTATAGTATCTGATGGGTTGAGTGATTTGTTCAAGTCCACAGTTGATCGGTGGGGGTGCTGGGTTCTGCACCAGGTCTGTGGGCCACCATGTCACCTGCGTTTTCCACTCTGCTGCACAAGGTTGGCAAAGCATTTCAGTAGCCTTTGAGTCTTGGGTACATTTCAAGTTTCATCAGAGAGAGGTTGAAACTTCCTGGGAAATTTGGCCCACCTTATATTTCCTCTCTAGCACACAATTACAATCCACGTAGCCACGTAGCCAGAGTAACAATTACACTGAGATGTCTTTCTGGTTTTACAGTCATTAGAGAACAGTGGTTGCTGCTGACTTTACTGCTCAAAACCCAGCTCCACCCATCAATGTCCCGACTTACCAATAGGCATAACTTCTTTAATGCATCCAAATTGTTCATGGATGAGCAAGGGGGAGCTGTAGTAACGCCGAAACCCCTTTGGCTGATGAGAGAGTGAGAAAGAGAAGGGGCTTATTATCACCCAGGAGATTAAGAAAACTACACCAAAATCCTAAAATTAATCTAACTAGCTCCTTCCTTTAAGATATTGACATCCTCCTGATTCTATATTTCATGACTGGTGGTACTGGGGGTGGATGGATAATACATGGTATTGAACACATTATACTCCATCCATAAAGCAAGCTCCAGACTGTATCCTGCTTCTCTGCCCCCTGCTGTGTTCCAGCCTCCACTGTATGAAGGATCTCCATTGTCTCCCAGGATGCAAATGGACTTCCTTGCATTCTTCCTCCATAGTTAACTGGTGTGGATTATTAAAATCAGGCAAGGCTTGGGCATGGGAAAGCAGACCTTGTGTAAACCTAGCGCAGATCGCGGGCTGGATCCCGAATAATTTGTTTTGCTTTTGAGGTTTTCTTTATGTGACCTCTTATCCATGGTCTTTTCCATGACCTCTGAGAATTGCTATTAGAGAAGGAGGTAGAGAACAGGTGAAGAAGAGTTTGAGACCAGAGGACACTGCAAATTAGAGCAAGTAGATGAACTTTCTAAGAAGCTGGACTCGTTAAATCCTAGTGTTGCAAGAGAATTTGGTGGCCTGGTTTTCACTAGAACCCTAGAATCTTCTCCAGTGTTTCCAGTAACTGTGTCCTCTTGTCTGAACATGATCAGTAGTGATGGGAGGGTGGTAGTGGTAAGAGCACTTCTTAGCTCTAGAACAGATCTGTGATAACATTCTTTCTGAGTGTCACAATGTGGCTGGCACCTATTCATTCTTCTTTTGCCTAGAGCCAGAAAAGATAACACAATTCCTTTTCTATGTGATTTTGGTCTTGCATTTTCAAAAACAATTGTTATGTTCCATCTAATTATTCTATAGAGTAGACATTCTAGGTACAACTCTGTGGCTATCTTTGTTCCAAATACCTTCTACTGTGCTCTCAATTATTTTTGATCAAAGTGTGTGGCGAAAGGACTGGAGTCCATGCTCCTGAGATACAAGGATCAGCCAAGAATGTGCCAAAACAGTCTCAATTTCCCTTAGTTGGGGCAACATGATTCTGTTAAGGTGGTGTAAACTTTTATTCCTCTGTCTTCTTTTGTGAATGTTGGCTGTTGTCCTGTCTTGACACTCACTGAACTGACTGCAAACTAAGTAGTGAGTGACAAACTGCTCTAGTTTGGCTGGTGCTGAGGATGTACCCATGATGCTTGAATTTCACTTTGCAAACCTGAATGGCCCCAGGGTGAGACACTTGTGCTGAAACTTAATGTGGAAGAAGCTGCTCAAGGAACGGATTCTTTTTAATGTAGGGCATTTGCCTGTAGGATCCATACAGCTCCTTGTTGGCTCTATCATTCTGCCAATCAGGAAGCCAAGTGAGCAGACCAAGATTCTGGGTGCCTTCAAGGTTATAGAGAAGGAGTTTGGAGGGAAGTAACTTTATTCAGGTAGGTAGTTCTAGTACTACCTCGTGACATAAGCTCTTACCAGCTTGCCCATACATCGCTGGAGTGCTAGGCCATCTGTGCACTTGTGGTGGATGCTCATCTTACAGGCTTTGCAGCGCAGTCCGTGCTTAGCATTTGTTCCTGTAAGACATATGGCAAACTTTGGTTACGATGCAGACTACTATTTCCTGAAATCACTGAAAAAAAGTCATTGCTTACCAGAGAATTCCTTTCTATGAGTTTTTCATGAAACTTCCAAAATGGAAAGATGTATTATGGTTGTTTATCTTACACTTTAATATTTTTCTACCTTTCATATTAGACTTGGCTTCTCTTCCTTTCTTTTCTGTTCATCACTCCAGAAATCTAAGTCTTGTCTGCTTTCTTTGTTCATTACAAAATGTGCTTTCCTTGCTATTCACATAGGTCACTATTTCTGCTTCTCTGTGTCTCCCTGTATCATACCTGTTTTAACACTACTCCAACTACTCTCTTCCTTTCACGGCATCTGAGTTCTTGAACAAGCTCAAGGATGACTGATAAAGGGGAATTATATAAGATGCTACCCACAAAGACCCCCTGGAGGAGCAAGAGGACTCCAACAACTTAGTCTTTGAAATGCAGATACCAGAATGTGTCCTCATAAAGGGGAACATGAGGTTACAGGTATCCAAATATGACAGCTGACTCAAGACCTAGAATGAGGATAGTCCAAGATGAAAGGTAAATCCCACTCTTTTTTTTGTCATTGTCTCCTTATCTTAGCTGCCCTGTGTCTTCATCTTTTTCTATTCTGTTTTGTTTAGCCCAGTATATACTGACTCAGTGGCCAGCATAATCTTTTAAAATGTGATTGAATAGATTCTCTCTCTTGCTTAAACATTGTTCAGCATTTTCTGTCTATCAAATGTCATAAAAATTGTTCACCATGGCAGTAAGGAATTGTATAATTTGTTTTTATTTATTTATTTTTTATTCTTTTGTTTTTAAAGGAGGTAAAATTAAACATAACAAAACAGCACAAAACCGATCATAAGATAACAATGTAAGAGACACAATTTCAAAGCAAGGCAACCGGAGATCTTCCCTATCATATTGTTTCTCGTTTTCTTCTAAATAGTTGTCCATATCTTTACATACAATGAAGTCATGCGAAACAAAATAGTATAGAACTGGTGAGAACAGGATGATGAAGGCATTTTAGGCCTGTAAGACCAGACAATAAGGAAGTCAACAATGGCTGCCATAAAGTCTCTCATTCTCTTCAAAACAAAACAAAGCAGACTAAAATCCCTCCGAACAAAGGATAATAATATTGCTGGATTTCACACCATGATGCTATGAAATCCACACTGGATACCTTAGTGCCTCTTTTTCTTCAAAGTAGCTGTTCATTTCATCGTGTATTATATTATCGATTCTCATAAACTTTTTAGAAGTTCTATGCATGCATGTGTCTCTACATTTATACCTATCCTTTCTGCATTAGAGGGAAAAACAAAACTAACCAAGACAAAACAAAACAAATTCCTAGAAAAACACAAAATGAAAAAGACACGTAAACAACATTAGCAAAGAGCCCAGAACACTGACAGTATAGACCTTCAAAACAAGGTGGTATGAACATAACTAGGGTTGTTATTTTATAATGATCTTTAAGAGTTACTCAGATCACTATACAATAATATGCACAATTGTTCTAATCCTATGAATGTTAACTATTTTGATCCAAGAACTTATAGAGTTTGTAGCACAATCATCTTAGCTATCCTGTGTGTATATAATTTTAGACATTTTATCTTTTCCCTTCCTTTTTCTTTTTCCTCATTTTCCCTGAGACATTACTTTTTCCAGATTTTAAGCAGATTCTTATCCTTTCACTGTAATCATTGAGTTTTTTGTATCTTATGTACTCTTACCATTTCTTACACTAGGGAGACTATTCGGTATTTACACATGTGAGTTTGATTTATTTTGTTAATGAGTATGGTCTCAAGCTGCGCCCATTTATTTATAAATATCTCAATGTGATCATTCTTTATAGCTGAGTAGTACTCCATTGTATAAAAATACCACATCTTTTTTTTAATCCATTCCTTAGTTGATGGATACTTAGGTTGTTTCCAAGATCTGGCTATTACTAATTGTGCTGCTATAAACATGGGAGCACATGTATCACTGAGGTATGATGTTTTCAGTTCTTCTGGGAATGTGCTTAGAAGTGGGATAGATGGGTCAAATGGGAATTCCAATCTCAGATTTTTAATGAACCTCCAGACTGACTTCCACAGTGGTTGTACCAGTCTGCACTCCCACCAACAGTGCAGGAGAGTTCCTTTTTCCCTGAAGCCTCTCCAGTATTTGTTGTTGGTAGTTTTCTTGATCCTGGTCGTTCTTTCTGGAGTCAGATGGGACCTTAGTGCTGTTTCAATTTGCATTTCTCTAACGACCAATGATGCTGAACATTTTTTCATGTATTTATTTGCCATTTGTATTTCTTCATCTGAGAACTGTGTATTCATCTCAGATGCCCAGAATAACAAAGGCAATTCCAAGCAACAAAGACAAGGCAGGAGGCATCAGAATCCCTTACTTGAAGTTATACTACAGAGCAACTTTAATAAAATCAACATGGTACCAGAATAAAAACAGAACTGAAGATCAATGGAATAGATTAGAAGGTACAACCACTCAGTGAGCTAAGGACTGTGCCTTATTCATTTACTGCTGCATACTTTGCTCTGAGTATGATGTCCAAGAAACATACATTAAATAAATTAATGAATAAATTATTTCGTGGTCAGATATGCAGTGATGCAGTGATAACTGGTTTGAAATAATTCATTGAAACAGATTCATCAACAGTATAGTAATAGTATTCAAGAGCTAAAAAGGAATTTGCAGATAAATCTATATCATTTAATTTTAAAGATGAGAAAGCTTGAAAGTCCATGTGACCAAGTGATTTTCCCCATATAAGAGGATTTATTGCCTAATTTTGCTCTTTTGATGCTTGACCCAAATATTTTTCCCTTTGTTTTGGATTATTTAACCTACATGAAAAAGAAATCTAAAATATAAATAAAAAGCAAAATAAAAGATTTAGGCAATAGGGCAACATTTTTTAAATGGAGAGGGAAATGAGAGATGGAGGAGGGAGGAAAGGGAAAAATATTTTTAAAAGAATCAAATAAAAAATAGAAATAGAGCTTTTTCAAGTGGGAAGAGGTTTGAGTTGGAGGGATGGGAGGGGAAGGGGACAAAAAGAATTAAGATGTATTATGTACATGTACAAATGATAAATATAATAACTATGTACTGCTAGCATGTACTAACAAAAATACAGTAACAAAATAAAATTTAAAAAAAGAAAATGAAGTGGGGCCTAATTATATAATAGAATAAGGAAGTACAGAACCTGAAGTTCATCTGGGAAAACCAACAAGCAGTCCCTTGAGTGGATGAAGAAGCAGAAACCTTTCAGAAGGTATTGCCTGAATGTTTCCTTCAAGAAGCAGTCTGAACATGGAGTACGTCTACTGTTCTAACCGCAGACAGAGAGCTGAAGTAACACATCGCCTTAGATTGTTGGGTATGTATGTTGTTCATAAATACTCGTTGGGAAGTCCCATTTTCTTTTTTAGAATAACCACTTAGCTGAAAGATTTCTGTGCTTTCAAAAGACTAGACTTGAAGTGCAATAACTTATTTTTCATTTTCAAATTAGAGAATGCTGTTTGTGCCTTACCTGGGAAGGCAAGTAAAAATTTCAAAGAAGTTGTTTTGTTGTGTCCTGGACTCTGAAATGATGTAATTGTATATTAAGGTATAGTTTTCTTCAGATCCAAACACAATTATTTTGATTTTTCTTTGATTGTCTGCTTTCATATACTCCATTATTTGGTATAAGTCAGACCACCAGCAATTATTTGGTTTTAGTGTCCTAGTTTCAACTGTGGAATTACAAAAGTGATTGAAGAGGAAACTCATACTTTGAATTTCAGGAACAGTTTGAAGGAATGATTCACACTGCAGCAACAGTATTAGTTTTTGTAGAAAGACATAGCAAAGCAAGCTCTGTGTTTATTACTGGTATCTTCCACCACAAATGCAGGCTGTATGTGTCTCTTAAGCTTGAGAAGAGGGAAAAACTTAGTTTGAAATTTCAATGTGTCTCTGCAATCTGGCTTTTAATGTTTAGGACAACTATTTATATTCTTGGAGTCTCTGCTATCCCATCATCAGTGGGACTAGCCTACTGTCAGGTTTGTTACTAGAGTTATGTTATAGTATTGATGCCTCTTGTATGATGGTTATGTTATAATACACTCATTATAAATTGAAAATATTGTAAATCAAAACTGAATTGAAGTTGGGCATGGTAGCATACGGATGTAATCACAGCTACTGAGGAAGCTGGGGCAGGAGGATCTCTATTGGGAGACTAGCCTATGTAAGTCAGTAAGACAGAGTTTCTCATGTGGTGTGTGTGTGAGCTGGGAGTGTATATCAGTACAGAACAATTCCTTTAGTATACTTAACCTATGCTGTATCATAGCCTAGTGGCTCAATTTACCACCTTGTGGCCTGTAGGTTGGACATGCTTGGCTTGCCTGGGCCATGCTGAAGGAACAAGAACTGTCTTTGGCCACATAGAAATATACTATACAGTTAATGTGTATAGGCAAAAATATTCTTTTCAAAAATATTTTTATTATAACACAGGTATGCCCAACCTACTTAAGAGTACTGGCTATTTGCTGGCATGATGATACTGCTTACTAGGAATTGCAGTTCATTGTTGCTGCTTAGCATCAAAAGGTAGTATTTTGTACAGTATATAGTTAACACTGAAAAATGTAACAATTTGGAACACAACTTTGACTAAATATGTATGGTTTTTGAACCAACATAAGATAGCAAAAAATTAACGAATTGAACCAATGTAGTGTAGAGACTGACCACATTGGCAAAAAAAGTTTGCACAGTCTTAAACACTTGATAAAGCTTGAAGAAACAATGGTAGACTTGTCGCATAAATTTGCCATTTAGTCATACCAAAACCCCACTAAAATTACAGGTAAAGAACTTTTAAAAATGGCCTAAATGTCAAAGATCAAGTTTACTTAGAGGAACAGCAA